TGGGGGGACTGGGGGGACTGGGGTTAGGGAGTGCACAAAAAAGACTGAGGCTGGAAGGGTTAATACAACTCATAGTTTTTTACATCAAATGACAAAAAATGCACATTGTGAGACCATTTAACTACACACACACACACACACACACACACACACACACACACACACACACACAAACTGCTGGCACCTCACTTATGCCAACAAGAGAAATCAAAAGCTATTTTCTTATGATGGCAACCATGATATTTTGTCACAGAAAGTTGCTTATTAATACGAGCAAAAAAACTCATGATCATAACAGAAAACTTTGACAAAATAAAGGTTTAATCTGTACTGTAAACAATTTTTCATTGAAAGACAAACAGCTGTTCATATGTAACTTTGCAATTTCTTTTTCGACATAAAACTTATTTTCTTTAGGATAATCTCTTTCTAGAAAAAGTCTTTTATTCAAAACGGAAAGTCTAGAGTCTACCTCACAGTTAATAACGTAAATAGCCCATTCACTGGTATCTGTGAAAACTTTAAATGTCATCTCTTCATTTAAGATGATTACTTAATGGCGACTATCGAAGACTATCTCTTGTCCCCATAAAAAATTTCTACGACCACTAAGCAGACTCAACATTTACGAGAATTATTAAATGTGAGGCAGCGTAGTGGAATCAGGCTCTCGTCAATTTTTGGGCATGTAGAGTTATTGGTATCATCTTAAAGCTTGTTCACTTTTCTTTATTTGGATGAAAAAAAATATCCATTTATCCTGAATACAAGTCAAGACATTTGCGAAAGAAGGAGGTGTGGGTCACCTGTTTTCAGAGGTAAATTTAGTGAGAAAATGGCTGCCAAAGATTAGTTATTTCCTTTGCTTAAGAGTGGTAACTGATAATTTTAATTTTTTGTGTCTTTATTCAACGTTTTTCCAGAAAAATCCACACAGAAATGAGTTATTTAATGGGCATGAAAGGTGTTGAGCCAAAAAACAAAAATTTGATACAAATTTACAAACCTGCGGAAAAATGCAAGTTTCTTCACTTTAATTATTTTGACGAGAGCCTGATTCCACCACGCTGCCTCACATATCTGTTTTCCACCGAGACAATGACACTATACAACATTAGGTTCAGAAAAAATGGTCTCAGGCTCAAAAGATATTTCCATTGAAAAGTTAATCATTCTTCCTTTTTTTGATAAAGGTGTCATATTTTATTTCTTCAAAGAAGGAAGAAAGGGTATCACCATTAATTAATATTATTTTAAATAAAATTTCCTAAGTGACATCTAGAAAAAAGGACCCACTACTCAGCAGAAAGAACACACAAACATGAAAAAGCAGTAATCTGTTCAGGATTCTCTCCTGCTGTTTTGAACGAGACAGTACCAAAATTTCGGCCAATTTCTTCTTGAAAATAGTTAATCCGTCTTCTGTTTTGATAAACGAGTCATATTTTATTTCTTCAAAGAAGTATCACCATTAATACTATTATTTATTTTTTTTAATCTTTGAAAGTGACATCTAGAACAAATGATGGAGGTAAGAAGAAAAGATCCACTACTTAGAAGAAAGAACAAGAACAATAGGAAAAATCAGTCATTTATTCAGGATTCTCACCTGCTGTTTTGAACGAGATAGTCCAAAATTTTGGCCAATTTCTTCTCGAAAATAGCCAGACGCAGCCACAGGTACTTGGCGCCCGAGGACAACGAGGAGTTGTTTTTTTTCGTCTGATTTTTGTTGTTGTCCAGGGATTTTCTGAGGAAAAAAACAAACAGAAGACATAAATCACAAAGAGAAGAAGAAATCTTTGCAGCCGAACACAGCAGAGAGTTTTACAGTACGGTATCACCAATACTTACGAACACAATATAATGAAATCGAA